CTGACTCCTCATATCAGATGCTGATAACTTTGCCAACCTTCAGCCATTCAGGCTGAAGTTTTCCATGCCAGGTATCTGTCTCTGACTGAATTGTTCTGGATCATTTCAGCAAAAACTAGTTGAGCCCTTTTCTCAGAATAAGACCAACTGTTCTTTTGCCAATGTATAAAAATCTTACAATTGTTTCACTGAGTAGTTCTCATGTCTTTGTGTTTTGGAACAGGGGCTTGCAATGTGGCAGCAGGATCTCCCTATTTTTAGGGTTGTCACTGTGTTTACTGTCTCTGTGAACATTTGCTTAGGTTTTGACCAGCCTTTTCATCTCTGAACAATCTGTCTCTATATGCTAGAGTATGAAAATATTGCAACTACATGATCCAAAAGAAACCTCTGTATTAGGGATGCTCCATTCCAGAACTTGGCAGGACTTCTGTAACTATAATTATTCCTTGTAGTCAGATTCTTGTGGTCTTATTTTCTGGATGCCTGACTTGAGACCTTGACAGGATCTTAGGTTATTGGCAGGAGCATGGGAGGCAGGAATGGAAACCAAGGGTTAAAGCTAACATCAGGGTGAAGAGTCTAGATTTGGGCCAGAAATGGAGTCAGGAATCAAGCTGAGTATTAATACCAGGTGCCAGATTTCATGTTGGGGTTCTGGGGATTGATTGGGTGTCAGAATCCAAGTCAGAGGCAGGCCCACTGACAGCAATTCTGGATCCCAAGGCAGAACAGTCAATGGGCCCCCCAAGCTGCACCTGCAGTCCACCTGACATTTGGGTGGGACTGCACATGAACTGGCTGATGCCCAGCAAGCTGCTGGCTGCACTCTTCTGGCATGGCTAGGGCTTCCATGTGCCCACCTAATAGGATTGCCAACAATCTAATCATGCAAACCCAAAAGATCTTTGATCCACCCTCTGACCTCCCCATGTCCAGCAAATTCCCTCGTTCAGCACTGGTCAGGTCCCGAGAATGGTGGACCAGGTTGGCCCAGCTTGTATAACCTTAAGAACTTAGGGTATGTCTACACTAGAAAGTTAGTTCGAACTAGCTAGTTCGAACTAACTTTCCTATGCGCTACACTAGCGCTTCGCTAGTTCGAATTTGAATCGAACTAGCGGAGCGCTTAGTTCGAACTAGGTAAACCTCATTTTACGAGGACTAACGCCTAGTTCGAACTAGCAAAACGCTAGTTCGAACTAGTAAGTCCACATTGAGTGGACTCTGAACAGGGCTTAAGGATGGCCGGAAGCAGTGCCGGCAGGGCATAAAAGGAGGCCTTAGAGCATGGAGATGCTGTCTCAGGCTAGCCGAGGGCTGCGCTTAAAGGGTCCCGACCCCCACCCCGGACACACAGTTCTAAGGGGTGCCCCGCTTGCAAAGAAGTTCTGGCTTGGAGTGCCCTGAGTGCCCACACTGGGCACATCACACCACTCGGCCATCAGCCCAGCTGCACTTGCCGCAGGCTGCCATCTGGGGAGAGGGAGTAATTGGGGGGCTGTAGGAGAGCTTCCACCCCCAGAAGCCCGCAGAGCCAGCCCAGTCCTCCCCATCGGGGGCTCGTACCCCATTCCTCCCTCCCCTCCTTCCACTTACCCTTCCTTAGCCCCCCTTCTTATTGATGTACAAAATAAAGATAACGTTTCTTCCAACATTGACTCTGTCTTTATTGAAAAAAAACTGGGGGAGACTGGGAAAAGGAGGTGGGAGAGGGGAAGAGAAAGGCTGGGAGAGGGGAGGGCAACTAACATGATCAGGGGTTGGGAACAGGTCCCAGATGAAGAGAGGCTACAGAGACTGGGACTGTTCAGCTTAGAAAAGAGGAGACGGAGGGGGGACAGGATAGAGGTCTCTAAAAGCAGGGGTTGGGTGGAGAGGGTGCATTCAGAAAAGTTCTTCATGAGTTCCCATAAAGAAGGACTAGAGGACACCAAAGGAAAGGACTGGGTAGCAGGCTTGAAACTGGAAAGAGAAAGTTGATGTTGTTCTTCACAAAGCAAATAGTTAACCTGTGGAACTCCTTGCTGCAGGAGGCTGTGAAGGCTACAACTAGAACAGAGGTGAAAGGGAAGTGAGATCAAGTGATGGAGGTTGGGTCCATGGAGTCCTATTAGCCAGAGGGTAGGAGTGGTGTCCCTGCCCAAAGTTTGTGGAAGGCTGGAGAGGGATGGCACGAGACAAATGGCTTGGGCATTGTCTTCGGTCCATCCCCTCCAGGGTCCCTAGGGTTGGCCGCTGTTGGCAGACAGGCTACTGGGCTAGATGGACCTTTGGTCTGACCCAGGACGGCCATTGTAAGCTCAGGGCTCAGTGTCGGGGGGCTCAGTGGACCCCCTTGATTTTCATGCACACCTGGTCCTGGGTGGCCAGGCGGGCAGCTCGCCTGCCCTAGCCGGCCACTTTCCTGTGCCTAGTGCGGAGATCGTGGACGAGGTCCACGATGTCCGCACTAGCCCAGGAAGGTGCCCGCCTCTTGCGGTCCAGGGCAAGCTCCCGGGAGCCGCCAGCCTGGTCCCGGCAAGAGGGGGTGGGCTGGGGGGCATCGGGTGGGCGGCTCTGTGCCGTGCCAGGTGCAGGGTCTGCTAGCTGGGTGCTGGCAGGCTTGCACCTGGCACGGGCACCGTAGCCAGCCCGTGCCCCCTTAAGGGGTCCGGGGCCGGGAGGGGGGCATAGAGTTTCCCTAGTGGTGCCCAGAGTGGCCACCAGGGAAACCTGGGGAGGGCTAGCCTCCCACTAGTTCGAACTAAAGGGCTACACAGCCCTTAGTTCGAACTAGGTAAACCTCATTTTACGAGGACTAACGCCTAGTTCGAACTAGCGCTGTAGTGTAGACGTACCCATGGATAGTATCAAGGATCCAGTCACAGACTGTGAAGACAGCTGCCAGTCAGATCACTCAAAGCAGAACTTTTCATGGCATGCAGCCTTTGCAGATTGTGGGTCAAGGGAATGGCGAGGTTACAGGGGTTGTTGGGTGTCAATGTGGGTTGTCTGGTAGCCCTACAGGCTTGCATTCAGGTCCTGCCAGTCCTTATGCTGATTTCCAGAAGTGCTGAGCACTCACAGTTACAACTGAAATGTCAATGGGAGCTGTGATGGGCTATAAATATCTCCGAAAACTCAGGCCCAAAACATCTTAAATTGGGCTTCCAAAATGAGATAATTTTTGCCTTGATATCCCTGTACCTCAGTTCTTGCAAACTGGGAATAATAATGCTTGCTTACCTCAGAGGGGTTGTATGAAGATAATTCATTAATGTCATGGTTCCTATCTATCACTATTGTATCATTCTGTGTATTTAGGGCAGGGCTTGGATGGTGTGCCGTATATAATACATGGGGCCACATTAACGGAGTAAAAAAACCCAAACAAACCGCTACCCAAGTGAGCACCATCCAGCCAAATGGTTTGGGATTGTATAATTAAAGACTATAGCATAATGCATAAGTACAAAAGGAACGCAGGCAAATTGCATGAAGATCACATGGAGAATATTAATTCTGTTATTTCTAATTCATGGATGCTTGATTTTGCAACTTCAGTGTCCTTTTACTGTATGTGTTGCATGTTTGATTTTTTTAACTATGCATTGCCTACAATATCATCTTGTAGTATAAAAACAAACTTATTGTGTTCTCCATATCTTTTTCAAATTGCTAATGGGTCATTACATTACAGCATAGCTAATAAAATACTTTCTTAGGGGGTATATTTCTAATTGCAGCATCAATTAGAATATAAGGCTCACATCAAGCCCAGAGAGCACTGGAGTGTCTATGGCCGGATGTGGTTTCAGTTACATAGGAAGTAATTTGGAATGACTCCATAGACACCCATGACCTAAATTAGTAGATTCCCAGAAGTGTAAATGAGATTTGAAGCTCGTAGTCTTCCTGATACTTCTCTGCATTGAAGTCATCTTTGTCTCTGTTCATTGCAGTTACCTTTTTCTGGCCTTTTTCTATTTCTGCTTTTGTCTTTTTTGAGATGGGGGTGTGACAGAGTGCAGAGACCTGACTGGTGGGTCAGCCACGTGGAGCCCGGAGTCAGTGAGACTTCCGCTGGCCCTGGGCTGCACATGCTTGCCAGCTTTGAAATGTACAAGAGCGGGAGTTCTTGTGCATTTCAAAGCAGAAGCGTCCTCGTGGAGCCTGGGGTCAGTGGGGAACTCCAAGTCCCCCACTGACCCCAGGCTCCATGCTACACTGCCGTTTTGAAATGCCACGTGGAACCCAGAATCAGCTGGGTACTCTCCAGCTGACCCCAGATTCCGCACAGCATTTCTGAGATTCCCCAGCTGACCCCGGGCTTTGCGCACTTTGAAATGCCATGCTGGAGCCTGGGATCAGCTGGGGAATCCCCAGCTGATCCCAGGTTTGGTGGAAATGCCGCGTGGAGCCCAGGGTCAGCTGGGGCTTTGAAATGCTGAGCAGAGCCTGGGATCAGCTGGGGAGTCCCCAGCTGATTCCAGGCTCTGTGAAGCATTTCCCCAGGACCTAGGATCAACTTGGGTTCTGCTTGGCATTTCACAGTGGCAGTGCTGCAGGGAGCCCGGGGTCAGCTAGGGAGTCCCCAGCTGACCCTGGGCTCCACGTGGTGCTGCCACTTTGAAATGCCACATCAGCATTTCAAAGGGCAGCGCTGCACAGCTGCTCCCGGGCTTCATGCAACACTGATCCTTTGAAACGTGCCACGTGGAGCCTGGGGTCAACTCAATGCAGTGCTGCCACTTTGAAATGCCCAGGCATACATGTCATACATGCCATAAAGAACATCTGTTGTGCAAGAGGGGGGGGGGTTCTTCTCTTATATATTCAGTTAGAAAAACATGTTGTTTGTTTAAGTTGAACAACCCTTGGAAAAAAAACATGGCTTTAAATTATGGAAAAATAAGGTCTGTGCAGTCAAACTAGTTTTGCAGACATAAAGATTACTCTGAGGTAGAGCTTGCAAAATCTAGAACTATGCAAGACTTAGTCATTCCTAATCATGATACCTCTTTGTATTTTCTCTACTCCCATCTTAATACGGCCAAACATCTCATTCTCATGTTGGATCTCCACCCCATATCTTCATTCACCAGCCTGTAGAGACAATTTCTTTTGCTGAGCGGATACGTCATTTTCAGAACCTGTCAATGCATATAAGGAATAGAAAAACTACCTTCAAATATGCAGATAACTTTCACTTTTCTAGACTAGATCACATTTCCATTTTATGTTGCCCACTCACCTTACTTTGTTGGAATATCAAAATTCTCAACTTTCTTAGTCCTTACGAAGCTTTACATCTTTATACCCTGATGACCTGTTGACTCTGCCAAAGGCTTCTTACTTCTGATGTGCTTAACATGTCTCATTACTTATAAATGTATTAAACTACATCCAGCCTGCTGTGGAGCCCATTTAAGTCAATGGCAAAATTCCCATCTACTTCAATGAGTGCTGGTTTGGGCCCATGCTTTTTAAGGCAGTGTATGCTCATGTGTATATATATGTATCCTGTACACTTGCTATCCTATAGAATGCATGCGAGTCTCTTATGCCAATAGTCAATTGCAGTGATGCAGGGCATTACACTTTTATGATACTCCCTGCTGGACTTTGAAGTCCATAAACCAACTGAAGAATGGAAACTGAGTTAATGTGGGTAACAACTAGAAGGATGTCTTTAAAACCTCTTACAAAAGGCATCCAGACTTCATTTGCTCAGAATTCGGTCAGCAATGCTAATGTCCATTAGTACATTTATCTCTTCCTTTCATATGTTCTTCCCCACCTCTCATGCCCCACTCTAATTAGCCCAGACCTAGTGGCTTTCCCAGCATGTTGCAAAGACTACCTCTTGGCACTGGTATTGGAGGAGGGATGAGGCAGTAGGGCTTGGGATTTCTGTTTGTGGGAAGGGGCAAATGTGAGGTGAGGGGCTGCAACTTTTAATTTAATACTATTGATTTGTAGGAGATGTGTGTGGGGAGGGAGAAATATTGCTGTTTTGATAATGGCAGTTAATCTTCACTGTGCTTTTAAATCTATGCTGAAAGTGCAGAGGAGTCTGAATAAATGATCTTTAGCATGGTGTTAAATTTACATAGAATTTAAAAAATATCATGCTTTTTCACATTTGCAGTAGTAGGTAGATAATCAGAATAAGTGCAATAAATTTTTGCATGTTTCAGAGGGGGTACCCATATTAGTTTCTTTCAGCAAAACCAACAAGGAGTGCAGTGGCACCTTGAAGAGAGATACATGTATTAGGTCATAAGCTTTCATGAGCTGCAGCTCACTTTGTCAAATGCATGAAGTGAAAAGATCAGATGGCAGGGATATATACCTACATACAGAGATGGGAGTGTGCAAGTATAAATCCCTGCCATCTGATCGTTTCACTTCATGCATCCAACAAAGTGAGTCCATGAAAGCTTCTGCCCTAATCCATGTCACTCTTTAAGGTGCCACAGGACTCCTTGTAACGTTTTACACGGTGGTCAACATTCTAATGCTTTGTAGCCTTTTACTTTTCTTTATTTAGAATGGATTTAGTGATGTTATCTTACGCCACTATGGATTCGGCTTTGGTTGCTATGTTTTCAAACTCAACTGAATGAAGGTCACCTCCGCTACTTGTCTCAGATTCAGACTCCAGGAAAACATGTAGACCCAAAACAGTGACCACAAATACATTCACCACTACGAAGCCTGTACTACAAATTTTATGAGAGTAGCAAGTAAGGTAATGATTACCCAAACAAGCACAAATCCTAGGAATGAATACTCAGGCACAAGTTATAAATATATGCTCACATTCTCAGATATTTTGATGATTTTCTCTTCCCCTGATCATAAGTAAGGATTCTGCTGAGATCTTTTCCATAGGTATTTCCATTTCCATTTAACCAGGGCATCCTCTTTTATATTGTAATTCTGATTACACCTGATAACCTGTGCATGTGCATAAAGGTGTCAACCCTCTGTTCTGTGCCTGTACTTCCACACCTCTATGAATATTGGGGTGCACTGGTTTTCATAGGCTGTATTTTGGTTCCTCTTGATCTAATTAGCATTTATACACAATATGTACCCTGAAGTCAGGATAGACATTTAAAAAGATGTTACAATGAGGTATCTCGTGATCTTGAACAATATATTACAGTTGTTTTTCTGTAACGGCATCTATTGGCACATGTCTATAGTCATTTCTTTGATCTTTATTGGCACAGTCACTTACTTATGTCAAGCATTCCTAAGTCTATGGTCTAGTATAGCTAAGCTGAAATCTTACAAGCCTCAGCCTGTGGGCAGCGCATTTCAATCATGCTTTACTTGCAATACATGCAATACCCAATGCGCATTCATTATTCCTAAATACTTATCAATATTGTACTTCTGTGATCTTACAACTGAAATCTATTTAGTGTGTATTACATCACATAGCACACTAATACATGGATGACAAAATGAACAAAGTGGCTACACCTTGGGGCAACAAAATGTAATTAAATTAAATGTTTCTTTTTTTGTAAATAGAAAAATGTAAGGAAGAACCTCATGTAGTGAGACAGTGAGAGGCAGGAAAGGGGAGGAAAGAGAATGGAGAAACTATCCCTCCATAAAAATGATTCTTACACTTCTTAGAACAATCATGCAAGGTCTGTCTGTGTTTCCACTGCTGATGGATTGAAGGAGAAAGCCGTCCTTGAGGTTCAAGTAGTTTGTATGTTATCCATACATGGCACAGTGCTTCAGAGCACATATCGTTTTATTTAAGTGTAGCGCCCCCTCTCCACCTGGTTACCTTCTTTTAAAGCCAATCTCCTTTCAGGTTTGGATGGATAGGTCTGGGTTCTTCTGGATCCCGCCACCCACTCAATTTTATTCTTTCTGATTGATGTACTTGGCGGTGCCTCCACCCCCCTCACTCCTTCCTAGCAGGGTCACCAGGGCAGCTTGGGAGGAAAATTCTAGCCCAGGATAATCCCCACGTATTTGCCAGATAGTTGGAGACTCCCAGAAAATAGCACAAACACATACACTATAATAAACACAATTATATTAAACAGGAGACAATTAGAACAGGGTAAAACACTATTTTTAGGGTCACTGGTGCCCAGCAACTGTGAGGTTAGTGTCCCGTTGGTACGCGTACTTCGTTGGGGCCCTTGATGACTGTTGACCACACAATCCTTCTCTGCAGTGGTTTAGCAGTGGAGCTGACTAGGTCCAGTACAGCCCAAAGGACTCACAAATGGGAGAAGGCAGTAAATCCCTCCACAGGTTTAACGTGCAGCAGGTAATAAAATCCCCAAACAAATTCCCTGACTTACTAACTAAAAATTGGTGCACTCACACACTCCATGAATGAGCCTCAGGTTGAGAGATGACTCAGTCTCTGCAAAGGGCTGCTCTCTTCTCACAGGGATCCTCTTCGAGCAGGAACCAGGCTGCTTAAGTCCCAGAATTTCCCCTCACCGCGAAGGGGTGCAGGGCTCAAGATGCAGACCACACAACTGCACCAAAATTCAAAACTACAGCCTCCCAGCCCAGCATTCAGACCCACACAGCAGGCAGCAGCCCTGAACTTGCTGCTAGAGCGGAGCTGACCATGCAGTGACTGGTCTCACCCAGGGAGCTGGAGCCAGCTCAGCCTGGCTGGGGAAGCCTCCCAGCAAACTCCACAACTGGGAATCAACAGTGGAGACATAAACCCAGCTGAGGGATCCTGCCTTCAGGTCCCTAGAGGCTAGTTCTCAGGGGGAACCCTGCATGCAGGCCTGGGGCTTACTAGCTCCCACACAGTCAGTCCTCCCCTTTCCCCGGCTGGATCCAGACTCCCCTCAACAATGGTCTCTCCTTCCCCCTGGAAGGGGCATCTCACTCCCCGTGGGTTGCCAGGCAGACTCTGGCCCTGGTAGGGAGGGGGAGCCAAGGCAAACTCAGAGTGCCTCTCCCTGAGCTGCCAGCAGACAAAGCCCCGGGAATCCAAGCAATCTCCTTGGGGGTTACATAAGAGCACAAGGAATGACACCTTCTGAGACAAATTCACCCTGGAGTAAATCCCCTGAGCTCGATTCTAATCTCACTTGTGTCCGTTTTACTCCAGTGAAATTTCACTGGTTTAAGTGGAGTTACTCATGGTTTATGTCACTCTCAATAAGAATCCAATTCAACTTCAAGAGAATGACACCAGGAATGAACTTGGTGCCATATAGCTATTGAAAGGAAAATATTTGGTTATTTTAGACTTTTTTTTTTTAAAACACAAGATCTACAGTAACAGGGCCCTGATTCGAGGTCCACCTAAGTCAGCAGACCCCTGTTGATTTATTTTAATGGGAATTAGACTGGATCCTGGTTCCTGATGGGGAGAAATTCTACTGTGACTTGTGCTTGCTTGACTGGTTCCCTCTTTGAAAATTAGTTTTGATCTCAGAAATGTTGTTGCCTGCCTCCTTTCATCCTTCTGTGCTGTGACAACGGCTACATGAAAACTCCTCGATTTCAGCCATCTGCTCTCTCACTGCTCCAACAGGAACAAATGCTTTCAAAAAGATGACTTTGGGATGGGTATATTTTATAGCAGCATAAAGATCCCCCCCCCAAAAAATTTAATGTACACTATGTGAATTACATAGTGTGAAAAGGAGGATGCTTTGGGGATTCAGGGAATAGCTGGGACTTAGGAGAGTTGAGTTCAGTTACTGTTTCTGCTGCAGACTTTGTGTGACCTTTAAGAATCCCAGTTAATCTCTCTTGAAACATCAATTCTCCATAGCAATGGAACGAATATAATAATCTTTCCTTTGCCTTTGCTTGTTTGTCAGGAAAGTATGATTCTATTTTTCAGGCAAAGTATAAACAAGGGGAATGTTAATGTGTCAAATCCCTCTAAGTATGCCAAAGATATTTTTATGTAGAAAATATTAAATACAGACTATAGCTGAATAGTGACATGTTGCAAAAATGATAGGCACTAAGCTATTTCTTCATTGTTTATGACTACTGGGCTACGTCTACACTGTACCTCTCTTGCGCAAAAGCCTATGCAAATGAAGTGCAGATTAGCATATTGCTGTTCTTCATTTGCATAGGCTTTTGTGCAAGAGAGGTGCAGTGTAGATGTAGCCCTGGTGGCCCCCCCAAAACACCCATCCCCATCCTATACACATTTCAAAGTTGAAAACTTTTTTTTACTTTTGCTTTTTTTCTTTTAAAGTGCATTGGCTCTTAGCAATGCTGAGCCCCTGCTCCTCCCACTGATTTAAACAGTAGTTGCGTGCAATTGGCAGCACTCAGAATCAGGCCACTTAATGTAGGCGCTTAAACGTCAGCAGTGAGTTGGAATATTTGGGACTATGGGCATGTGATTTAAACTTACATTAGTGAGCGGTACTTTAGTTTAAATTAGAATGCCAACAAAATTATTGATGGGGTTGTTTTGTTTCTTGGTCTTACAAACTCTTCTGTTTGTAGGTAGCTGTCTGTTTTGCTTGCTCGTTTGTTTTGTTTTTTTAAATCTAGGGGAGAGAATAAGAATCAAGTTAAACACTTAGAAGTAGAATGTCGTTTGAAGTTTTGTTTTTCCTGCTGGCCATATGAATTCACTGAGTCTGCTATTCTTGGGTTCTCTTCCTATTTCTTTTGCTCCCCAAACCCTACACAGTAATGGCATCTTATTGAGTCAATAGAGGTGAAGTAAAGTGCTTCTCAGGGATAAGAGTACTGATTGCTCTGCTCACGTATTCAGTTCGGGCTAAATGTGTGCATACATAATGCACAGTCATTTGGCATATATGTAAAATGGTGAAAGGTACAATATAGCTACATAGATGGACAAGTAAATTATCTTGTTTGTCAGTGCACAACATGGCATTGCCATTCTGTTGTATATGCTAACTTGGTATTAAAGTCAATATTAAGCACTGCCACATGGTGTTAAGTAAATTCCACAGCACACAGCCTTTTTCTTTTATTTACTTACTAAGCACCATGGACATCCAAAGTATTATATAAACAACAACAATAATAATGGGATGACTGCACTTGTACCATTACATTTTGATCACATAATGGATGTAATGCTGGAATGTGTATTGATGGAACCCAACAGTGAGTGGGTGTTAATAGACATGACTGTGAAAATAACATGAGCTACTAGATGGACAAGTTTCTGGCTGGCATTCCCAGGTTGGCTGTGGTTCTCTGCAATATTTAGCAGTTCAGTCAGTTGTGTACCCTTTAATTACAGTGTGCTTGCAAACAGCACATTGTTGTGCCATAAATTAAGCACGTAGCTGTGAGGACAATATACCAGCCCTTTTAAACAAGTGAGTTAAAAAGTGAGAGAAGAAATAAAGCCCATGAAATACTATAATGAGCTTGTCTGCCCAAGGCATTAGAAAGACTAAGGAGTAAAACCAAATGCAAAGTCTAAAAAGTGCAACTTATATCTTGGACTTTGTTTGTTATAATATTCTTTTTCAGAGCAAATCCAACCTATTTTTTGATATGCGAACACCATTGAAACAAGCTTGATGAAGGTGAAGATTTGTTGGAAGCATGTTCAGGTAGTACTAGGCAAACCAAGCAAGTTTAAACATTTCTTTTAGAGCCAGTTGTAGTAGGATAATAAATTTAGATTTTGATGAAATTAGGTTATTTCAGATTTCAATAAATAGTCAAGTTTTTTAAAAGGCATGCATCTAGGTATATAACTTCTATCAGTGTGTTTATTAGAGGCACATAATTTATAAGTATCAGACTTATTAGGTTGTGAAATTCAGGTGGGTGAAAATAAGACAGGAATAAAAACAGACTAGATACATATTTTTTAAAAAGGCTGTGAAATTGTATCTGAAAGGAGTCTACCCCTTTGCTCAGCTCTACTTTTCTTTGCTGCTTCACTTATATTTGTATTATAGGTGGTGCGCGCACACACACACACAAAATACCCAGATGGGTCACAAAACAAAAGTTCCCAAAAATTTCCATTCAGAAATGGAAAAATATTGTTTCTTGTGTCAGTTTAACATTAAAATGTACCTGCCTATGGTGTCTTATGGGAATTGAAGTCCAGGTAGTTCATGGCCCTCAGTTTTACCCTATGGTCCAGGCTTTCCAGCTGGACAATCTCTCCTATGAAACATCTGCATTTATGTGGCTGCCATGATCCAATATTTGGCTTGATTAGAGAGAAGGCTACAATTGGTCATAGGAGATATTTCAGACTGGATCTAATAATGACTAATATTAGTTATGAATATTCCTTTTTTAGTTGTGAATCTTCCAAAAAAAACCATTCTGATTTTTTTCTCAGGTGTCCACCATAGCAGTTTTTTTAAAATAAATAATTTTCAGGCCCTAAGCTGTTCATGAACAGTTCATTCCAAGTATTCACTATTGGCTCTTTATTTGGCCACATAAATCACAGGATGGCATTTTTTTGCTGCCTCATGTGATGGCTGAAACTTTTTAAAACAGGAGAATAATGAATAGCAAATGATGCATTTCTGATAGGAATTTTTCTTAGAAACTCTCATTCATCCTAAAACTCATGAAGACTTTTCACAAATACCACACAATTGTCCAAATATACATGGGCGGGGAGAAGCAGTAATGTGATCCCACAAATCATTAGTGAGCTGATGTCAGCACTTTTTATTCTTAAACTATTTGTGGACCTTGTTGTTGTTGTTGTTTATTTTTTGATCTAGTCTGTCTTGCACCAATTAGTGATAGAAACTCTGATTCCCTGTCTCTTCTCCCTCCAATTCCTACATTGTCACCTATGTGATCTACTGAGAGGCAAAGAGAAGAGAGAGAGCTAGCGTGCACTCGTTCCTGGCTACAGACACTTTAATCAGTAGAGTATATTTGGAATGAAGAATAGCTTTACCTCAGAGCTATCTGGATAATTCAGTTAATTATGTGCCACCCTCTCCCCAGTTAAATTAGCTAAAACATTTGGTATGACTTCAGCAGTTTTGAAAAGAATGTATCAATAAGATGCTGTGAATGAATGGTTGGACATGAACTCCTGCTGGATGATGAAGAGCTGAAGATTGTGCTAAACAGTCCTGGAAAAGTTATTTTCCCTTGATTTGAATTAAGATCTTGGATGTGAAGTGTGATCGTTATCTTACATGATATTAATACCCTTCACAAGGGTAATATAGAGGCAGATACAATGCTTCTCCTTGCCCATGGGCAAGTTGCAACCTTAGATTTTCAGCATCAAAGCACAACCTTAGCTCCTTTGATGCAACTGCCTGTCCACAATAGAAACATGTGGACTAAAATTTTTGAACTTGGGTGGCTACAGTTAAGTCAGTTGAGTCCATATTTAGAGTCTAGCCTTCTCTTGATCAACACATCTAACTAATGAAATGGGCAAGAGAACAAAAAT